TATTTCACTCCTGTACAGCATTATTGCAAGATTGTCAAGCCCTAACCTTAAAATCTCTGTGGAGGAAATCCTATGGTGTTACCATTCAAATGAAATGTCTTCAGCAGTACTTTCACAATTTAAATTGGTACCATGAATGTAGTTCTAACTTTTGAGTCTGGACAAAATCCTATAGTGTTACCATTCCAATGAGACTTCTTTGGAAAAATGATTGTATGGCACGATTTATTTCTTAGGATTCTACAAATAGAAGAATATTATTGTGAAAGGTTTGAACCCAGGAGTCATTTCAAAAGTAAGTTGAGTTTGATTGTCTGGGTGAACGTAGTCCTGAATAGGACTGTTGTTGTTGATAGTGACTGACGTTTCGACAACCTGTGCAGTAGTTATCTTCAGAGTCAAAGTGAGTTGTATCATGTCAGTTGATGGTATTATACTCTGGTTATTGATCTGATGGGTCAATTACGTTGCGATGTTATTGGTCGTCTGTCACTTAAGCTGTGATGTTATTGGCTATGAAGACTTGTAATCAGTAATTGGTGCGTTTCGATCCGTGTTTGTCAGAGTTAAACAGTTGTCTATTGTTAGTCAAATTGTCAGATCTCCAGTCGTTCTCTTGTAGCTAGTTTTGCTTGATCTCGTCAATAAGTCATTTGTATGGCGATGGTAACTGTTGGCTACGATTCAGTGGTGTTTGCTCTAAGTTAGTAAACCAGCTTTCTAAAGTAAGACGTTGATAGTAGTCTGTAGAATACGTTATACATGTCGCAGAGCCCCAGTCTGCTTGATGTTTCATCTGTAAATAGTGCTATTCTTTACCAACTATTAAAAGTAAAAGGATTGAATTGTATTTCATGAATGCAATCTCATCATTTCAAATATAACAGCTTATATAATAAATTCACCTTATAAATAATAATGTTACCTTTTCATTTGTTTCACTTTTTAATTTGTGAACAATACCTTTATATGCTTAAAAGTCTGGTCTGCTGGCCAAGAACAAGAAAATACGATAGGACGACCAGTCTTGTTTAAAGCCACAGTCACTTCTGGATAAAGTGTACCAAATTTTGCCTCAACTGAATTGCATCCATCTAGTTTAAGATAATCCACACCCCAGCTGGCAAATGTCTGATTGAATGAACAATGATCAGTAAATTAAAGCTGTTAATAAATACAGCAGAATGCATAAAATGAGTGAAAAAGCAGGCTTGTCTAATGAAGAAGCCTGCTTAGCTATTCCTTAGCGACATCCCTGAATATTATGGTTTAGATTCAAGGACTAATTATACGGCACATGAAAACAAAACAAAACATGGCATCCATCCAGTATTTTCACATAAAAAAAGAGTTCAACTATCCCAAAGGAATGGCTTTGTAAGCCAACATGGCTGTCATTTCATTGTTTTGGAGCACCAATATAGCAACCATGATGCCATTGTGAAAATGCTCTATAAAAGGAAGTCAAGTTAGAAAAAAATCAATGCAACCAGCAACTCACATCCATGTCCTGCTGAAAGTGACCTGCAGTTCCTGGAAATCCTGCACATGTTCTAGTTCCAATATCTGAATAAAGTAACCCCAATGATTGCTGAGTTTAACTTCACATACAGCAAGTCATAACAAACTTGTTAGCCCTTCAAATCCATCAGTTTATTTCCTGGTTTTGATTATTATGCTATCAAAAAATTGAAACTATATAACAACTTAAGTCTGGAATCTATGGGATGAACAAGAATAAATATGCAAACAGTATTGCCAAGATTTATAAACATTAAATTCTATACTTAATGTATACGTTACAGGTCATTATATTATTACATTCAGGTTAATTTTTTCTAATCTACAGTAGGTCGATTCTCAATGTTCTTTGTCTTCTAGCCCTAATTCATGAATAAGAGACAACAAAAACAGAGAATCAACCTCTGAGGTTAAAAAAACTTTCACCTGAATTTAATCTTCACCAGTAGCATATAATTATGTTACAGGTCAAAATTAAATTCAGGTAAAAATTTTTTAACCTAGGTTGATTCTCAATTTCCTTTGTCTTCTACCTCTTATTATTTTTGAATTAGGGCTAGGAGAAAAGGAAATTGAGAATCAACCTAGATTCAAAAATTTCAACCTGAAAATAATTTTGTCCAGTAGCATATACATAAATACCAACCAAGACACAGTATAGGCTTTGGTATGTATATTCAATAATAATTGATACCACATGAAAATGAGTCAGGTAATTAAAAAACCCATTAAAATCACATAACATTATTTTATTCTGGGCCTGGAAGGGTATATTTGGGATTTGAGATTTGAACAAACTACAGTGTAGGAAGTGGGATTTGAGAAAATGCAAAATACCTTGACAGAAATGGGATTCACTGGGGATTAGAATGCATCTACCTGGGAAGCAGGATTCACAAGAATTTAGGCATGGGATGCGGGATTTTCTTGCCTGTCTGTTGGAAATTCCGGAAATCATATGTTCTAGCAGCTAATGTGAATCATCCAGGGGAGCATACAGTGGTATCTCCTATCAAGGCAAATTATCTAAACTGTCAAGTAATCAACAGACGAGCAGACAGAAGACTCACTGGTTAAACCGAACACCAGGAAAGTGAACCTCCTGTTAGCATAAAGTTTAATGACCTGTATTCTTTTTAAATGTCTCTCAGCTGCTCCCTTGAATCAGACAGTGATAGTTTTGGTGTTGTTCTTTCTTGCGCATGCTCCAGGTGTTCAGAAAGTATTTCTTTTTTGCAATGGCCTTAAAACTTGTTTAAATTCAAAATATCATCGAAAGGGTCAACCTACATGTACATCTTATATTTATAAGCTTCTGCAGCAACAAATTTTTTAACTTAACACACATTAAGGAAACTAAAAACGGGATTTGGGAAAGCAATGAAAAAAGGGGGAAGCGGGATTTAAAGGAGTGGGAGTGCAGGATCAGGCACCCCCTGCCCCCTTCCAGACCCAGCCGTTTTATTATTGTACACTACTCAAACACACCTGCATAAATTCCTAGCTTAAGGCCTTTGGAATGGACCTGGATAAATGGAACAAATAAATTTTATTATATCATTACCATTATACATTCAAACATTTTTTCAAAAAAAAGAAAACAATTTACATCCACTCTTGAAGTGTGACAAATTTAACACACTTTTGACCGATGAAACATACAGTTGGGATGTGAAACCAACAATATTTCCTTAGGATGGTTTTGGTATAAAATTTTTGAGGACCCAACGTGAGTTTTGAGGAAAGAAAAAAAGAAAAACATGTAGCCGTGCATTGATAGCAAAGAAATGTACAAAAAAGCGTGCTGCACTTGCAGGGTTGTTGTTTTGTTTCTTAAAACTATTGCTTTTTTGACATGTCAATCATTCCCATTGCCGTTGTTGTTGCTAACACTCTTTATTATAAACCTCATCTGGATACTCACGTAGTCAGCAACAGCTTTCATCCCATTAGGAAAAGCCGTTGGATTTGGTTGTAGTTCTCCCCATGCTGTGCGATTGTGTGCCATCCAACAATCCTAAAATAATAGTAGCAGCTTTGATGTCATCAACAACAACAACAATAATAATAATAATAACAATAATCACAATTTAACAACTTATTCATGTATAGTGCTTTTTACATGTATGCTGATATAGCGCTTCACAAAATAATAATTAATCTAGGAGTAATCGGAGCTTAGGAGAGTGCGTTCGATATGTTTGTTGAGGTGGAAGGGTGGTTGCGATGTAGGTAAATATGATTATGGCATATTTTGAACGTAAGAGTTGCGTACAGCGAAACCTCTATTTAAACTGTGTATCATTTTAAGAACGTTTTCAAAAGATATCGTATGGTTCAGTGTCAAGTGCTTTTAATCGGAGGAGACATTGGCCATCGTCGGACGTGTAAATGGAACATTTTGTTTTACTGGCGTGAGTTACAGGACGCAGTTTCTCAAAGGCCGATTAGTTCTTAACCTGGGATTCTTTTTCTTTCTTCAAAAACATTTCTTCGGATAATTTTCTCTGTTATTTTTAACAGCATCCAATCATCAACTTGTTGACAAAATGAATTTCATTGAATTTACTGGTTTAAAAGCTTTCACATCTGAATTCAAACTTTGCACTAACCCTATCAAAGCCTTCAATGGAACGTGTGTGCGGCTCACGTCAATAACTTTTCCAGTAAGTTGGTCGACCGTGTTGATTAACTCGTAAATTTACTTTGTGACAAAACAGCCGCCGAGCTACACAACTGGGTAAATTTACTTTGTGGCATAACAGCCACTGAACTAAACCCGGTTTAATGCATGCACGAGTAGTCGCAGACATTTTCCAAAGACAGTGACGAACCATGCTGAAAAATATGGAGGCTTAATCCAAAGCAAAATTTAACAGCAAACTCCTGAAAGATGAACGCTTTAAACGATTCAGCAATCACAGATTGATGTACGTTTCACGAAGATTCAGCAAACTTGTTAAAAGATGAATGCTTTATGAAGAATATCAGACCTTAGCAAACCTTTGAAAGATGAACCCTGAGGACACAAGAATCACCACATGAGTTAGCGCGTCAAAGTGAGGCAAAACTTAGGCAGCGCCTCACAGTGAGGCAAATGTGTGTCGACGACAAACGAAAATGCAATCTCAAAAAAACCTCCCTTATTAATTGCACAGGTCACCCAATAATGCACAAAACACCCAACACAAATTAGGGGTTGCGTTCTCGTACCTGGAATGCAAATATATGTTACAAAAATGTCTTAAGTTTGTCTTTAAGAACACTAAATGTCATGATCTTGTGCAGGTCAGCCAGTAGGCTGTTCCACAGAGCTGTATCAAACTGATCACTAAAAAAGGATGGCATCAGTCCATAAATTGATTTGAAAGTAAAATTATTAGAATCTTAAACTTGACACAACAGGTGATAGGAAGCCAACGAAGTTTGTATAGAGCTGGTGTTACGTGTGAGAACTTAGGTATATAATAAATTGCATTTTATAGTGCTTATATTGAATTGCAACAACAGTGGAATAGACCAAGGTCATACCAGTAATGCAGGCTGAGGCAGTTTTCATTTTATTTATAGTGATTTAACTAACCATGTGGAAACATGTACAAGGATCTAAATAATAGAATCAGAACTTTCAAGTGTTTGAAACAACAGTGTTATCTACTTTGGTGAACAATAATAATAATAATAATAATAATAATGATGATGATAATAAACTTTATTCAAGTGTCAGGTACTTTAGCTATAAAGCTAATTGGGGATACTATGAAATAAACAATATATAAGTAGAGCAATAAACTAAAATAATAACAGTTAAAACAAATAGTTTATATATACAAAGCAAGAAAGATTTAAGAGTTACTTAAGGTGCATTCCCACCCACATTTGTTTTCCATCAAGTTAACAGCCAAATCACTTTTCCTAATTTCTTTTTAAATTTATCAATTTCAGTTAACGTTCTTAAGGCTATTGGTAATTTACACTGTGGATACAGACCAAGATATTTTATAGAATGTTTACCAAAAGTTATTGTGTTGAATCTAGGAATCATAAAGTCAGAATTATGTAGATAAAAGTTAGTGTCGGATTTTTGAAAAGTACTGCCCCATTGAAAGTGGCACTTTCAGAACTTTACGTCACTTAAAGGGAATAAAACTGTGACACAAAACATGTACATCACAGTGGATTACTTTACTTACATCAATGGAAACATACTCATAACCAACATCTTTGTAACCAGCAGAAACAATGTGATCTGCCATTGTTTTTACAAGGTCTTCACTAAAAAAAAAACCAAGTTAGTTTAACTGATATGTACTAATATGTAACAGGTAGAAAACTAACATAAAAATAACATGCAAGCAAAAGGTACCAAATTAAAAATTGCACATAGAAATCATTCAGCCATATCTATATATTTAATATCTATAACATGGTTCAAAAAGTAAATAATGGAAAATGATATAAAAATATTATTGACGGAGGGGGTTGAGCAGAGCCTTTCATTTCAAATTTCATATTATTCACATGTGTGAATGCATGAAAGCATTCGCTATAAAGAGATCGACAATAAAAGAGAAAATTCCCTTATAGAAATCAAATTTCCCATACAGCAAACTCTGGCCTTGTGGACACCCCACTATAACGGACACCCTGATAATACAGAGAGCAGTCAAATTCCTTGAAAAGCAAACTACAGCCAAACTTCTTCAATACGGACACCAAAGGGAAAGATCCAAGTGTCTGCTTTACAGAGGTGTCCATATTATAGGGGGAGAAAATGTGTGATTTTTGGCATTTCTGGGATCAAATGAACTGTACGTAAGAGAGAGGTGTCCGTATTACAGAGGTGTCTGCAAGGAGAGGTTAGACTGTACAGACGTTTGACTGAAATAAACTCTTGCTATTACGGACCCTCGCTAATGCTAATAATGACACCAGCCCAAGGTCCCTACAGTTCCGCAACAAAGGGAGTTGACTATATTGGAAAAGCTAAGCTAAAGAGGTTTATGACGATCAGGAATAATAACGTTCTACATTAATGTTATAGTTAACCACTACTGCTAACAGTACCATTACCTTATAGAGCAGCGGAACTTTACCCAGGCCATCCATCCCACTGAAAGAAAGGGGGGAAAGTAATGCATTTTAGCACTTGAGCCCAGTGCTTTAACTGTAAATCATGTTTATATTCGGTCAAAGTTAAATTCAGATTAGAATTTTTTAACCTACGATACTTGTCACAAATCTTGAAACACTTGGGTGCTTTTCCCCTTCCCCAATGTTGATTTGGGTATTACAGTCATCTCAGTGGTCCAAAATACATGTGGCTCAACATATTGGGAAAGCAGAAGGGCACATTTGAGTGAGAACAAAGGTGAGAAGAGTGAATGCAATACATTTTCGAAAAAATTCAAGAAAAACAGTTTCTGTTTCAACGATTTGTGACGCAGATTGTAGGTTGATTCTCAATTTCCTTAGTCTCCTAGCACTAATTCATGAATAATTAGGACCAGGAGGCAAAGGAAATTAAGAATGAACCACAGTTAAAAAATTTTAGCTTGAATTTAATTTTGACCTGCAACGTATACATGCTAAGCAATTTTCCAAACTTTAAAGACTGGGATTGGTCTGATTCATGACATGACCATGCTAATAAAAATGACAACTTCAGCAATATTTTCAGATGATGCTAATTATGGATCCCTAAGATGGACACCTCTGGGGCTGGAAGTATGTCTCCGTCTTATAGAGGGTCTACTAACGAAGATAATGTGAACAAAGGAAATAAAATATAAAATATGAAGATATGATTGTCACAGTGGTAGTTGCAATTTAAGCAACAAATTGCACATTAACATGCAAAAAACTTTCGGGACTTCAACAGGATTTGAGGGTTAATGAAACAAGGAAAAGAAAGGAAGGGAAAAACTCTAGGTTTTCATTTTCACAAGGTGTCCATCCAATCTTATAGAGGTGTCCATTAAGAAGGAGTTGAGACCAGTTGACTGTATTTGTTTAATTTGAAAGTAATGTCCAACTTTTGAGTCTGTGGATGAAATCCTTTAGTCATGACCCATTTGGGTTTGACTCAGAAAAAGTTGGCAGGTATATTTTTAAGGGTTGCTTTAAATTGGCAAGGTATTCTGTAGTTAGCTAATATGAATTTGCATCAATCCTTGATATAAAAATTCAAATATGTTGCTAAAACTTATCCTAGCACCTAAAGGATTTAGTTTTATCCAAACAAAAACTTTATCTTTCTAACCAATTTTGTTTATCTTGCATATTAAACTTTGGGAGCTCCGAGAAATTTCAAGTGCAGAGTAGATCTAGTATAGAACTTCATAATGCTAAGAGTTATGAAATCTTACTTGGTGGAGTCCTTGCAAGTCCATTGTTGAGCGATTTTGCACCAAAAAGCAAAGCAACAATGTTGATAATGACGATGTAGAATTTGCAGGCCGCCATCTTGGCATAAACTTCTTGAGAAAGCATGATAGGAAACGACGCAACATCGTCACCTGATTAGCACCTGACACCGGGGTGTGGGGGGTGGGGGGGAAGGAACACCGGGGATCACTGGGGGGACTGACATCATATCCAAGCGAGGCAAACACCTCACTTGGCCCATAAAGCGCCTCTTATGCAGGCTACAGAGATAGAAGCATCGAACCATTGGACTATAAAAATGACCTTAATGGATTGTTGAAGTGTAAAGTTAAATCTACCACTGATTTTAAGCCGAGCACTTCCGGTACTACCAAAGTTCGAAGTAGCCGCGACTATCTCGNGAGTTGAGACCAGTTGACTGTATTTGTTTAATTTGAAAGTAATGTCCAACTTTTGAGTCTGTGGATGAAATCCTTTAGTCATGACCCATTTGGGTTTGACTCAGAAAAAGTTGGCAGGTATATTCTTAAGGGTTGCTTTAAATTGGCAAGGTATTCTGTAGTTAGCTAATATGAATTTGCATCAATCCTTGATATAAAAATTCAAATATGTTGCTAAAACTTATCCTAGCACCTAAAGGATTTAGTTTTATCCAAACAAAAACTTTATCTTTCTAACCAATTTTGTTTATCTTGCATATTAAACTTTGGGAGCTCCGAGAAATTTCAAGTGCAGAGTAGATCTAGTATAGAACTTCATAATGCTAAGAGTTATGAAATCTTACTTGGTGGAGTCCTTGCAAGTCCATTGTTGAGCGATTTTGCACCAAAAAGCAAAGCAACAATGTTGATAATGACGATGTAGAATTTGCAGGCCGCCATCTTGGCATAAACTTCTTGAGAAAGCATGATAGGAAACGACGCAACATCGTCACCTGATTAGCACCTGACACCGGGGTGTGGGGGGTGGGGGGGAAGGAACACCGGGGATCACTGGGGGGACTGACATCATATCCAAGCGAGGCAAACACCTCACTTGGCCCATAAAGCGCCTCTTATGCAGGCTACAGAGATAGAAGCATCGAACCATTGGACTATAAAAATGACCTTAATGGATTGTTGAAGTGTAAAGTTAAATCTACCACTGATTTTAAGCCGAGCACTTCCGGTACTACCAAAGTTCGAAGTAGCCGCGACTATCTCGGAGCCTGGAACCGGGCTAAGTTCGAGCATGGCAGAACACAAATATTAGAAACTAGAAATAGGATTTTTGGGGTTTGAAATTTTCGATTCTGGGATTTTTTTTAGGTAGGAAAATTTGGCAATTATTTTTTTGAGTGGCTTATTTTAAGAGGGGATTTTTGTGGGGGGTATTCAAAATAATCTGAATATTCGTGGTAGTGCTAGCCTGCGTGACAAGCCAGTTCCTCCCTCCTCGCGCATCCCTCCAGTTTCTCTCGCGCCCCAAATCCTCATTGCCTTCCCCCGTTCTAAAACCTGCCACGCAGGCTATGGTAGTGCCCGCTGCGTATCCCGGCCGCGTAGTTCTACGAATAAGTACAACCAAACATTATATGCTAGACGGGTGAAGTAGAGCCGAAAAAACCAGATGCTCTCGAAGGCTAAACTTAATTAACCTGTGCTGGGGTGTCTCAAGTGTTATTAGAATGACTACCAGAGGCAGAAAAGACGTGTTATATCACTTCACACTTTCTGGAAATTTTTAAGGCTCGGTAATTCGACATGGGATTTGTTTAGGGTTAATTTTTGTTCCAGGGACTTTTGGGGGTTTTAAATTTTTGCCCCCATTCGATCACCCCCGAACGCCCCTGCCCCCCCCCCCCCCCCTTGGGCGCTTTCCCTCATCCCATTTTCTTTCGCTTTTTTCGCTGGGCATTTGCTTTAGGCTTCACTTTTGTGGAAAAGGTTTCAATAAAGTTGTTTTTCCTGACCTACGTAGCGTGGCGTCCAGCCTGGAGAAACAACTGCATGCAGAGTAGGTCGGACACTGAAACTGGTTAACGAACCGGGGAAAAGACAAAAGCTCACCATGGTCAAACGCTGAAAAGTCAAGTACCATTTAAACTTTGTCAAGAAAGAAGGAAAAACGGCTTTTTAATTACCATTTGATTTTGACACGAAGAGTTTAAAGAGGCTATGTCTGTATTAACATATAAAAAAATCTGCGATTCATGACTCTGGTACATTATTATTTAGTTATTAAGGAGGAGTGGATCGATCATGTTTTATCTGGCATTTAATCATGACTGCGCGCTAACCATGCAATTATGAATATATTAATAGCTGGATAAAGGTTTAGTAATGAGGCTAACGCAAAGGGAACACTGAGCCTATTAACTACTCGATGGTTTTCAGGCAAATCTTTGTTCTTGTCAGCCTGGCTTTTGTAGTTGATGCCATCTCTTGGAAAAACTGCGGTAAGGCGAACAATTCCCCCACAGTTTGACGGATACCACAAGCTGGTACTTCTTACATGACTTTCCAAAATGATGTTGATTTGTCTTCGGTTTTGCTTATACCGATACAGATAGAATCTCTCCTGTGCAAGTAGGGACGATTATTCTCTCTCCAGACCCTTTAGTTCTCCGCAAAGGGGAAAAAATAAAATTCAGTGGTATGTTCATGGCAAAGGCTCCCTCAGGAATAAATTTCAAGCTCAACGTTAAGTTGAAGAGAAAGGACTGTATGGGGAAATGGCATCACTTTGGTTGGTTGTGAGTATTTTGTTTCAATGCAGTTATGTAAGAATAACAAATGATACCAAACTGTGTGGTTTCTTTACACATCATATATAAGAAGCGGTGTGGGAAATAGTCTCCCGAGCCCTTCTCAGTCAATGCATTCGGCGTAGCCGAAATAAACTCGCTCGGACCACGTGACCCAAAAAGCATTGGCCGCGCTAGCCTCGACCCCAGAGCTCTTCTGCGCATGCACTGGGGTCAAGATTGAGGCTGCGCAGTAAGGCTGCGCAGAATGTGCAGAATAATAAAGCCTTGGGACTAGGCTAGAAAACAACAACAACAACAAACTTTAAAATTGCCTATTACATGTTTTGAACTTGGGAAGCTTTCGCCTATAACTTGCTTATAAGTGTGTATCGACTGTCATTGTTTGAAGTATATTTTTGTTTTTATTAAAATATATTCTTGGCTTGCACTGTCACGCAATGAAAAATAAAAATGCAAACCATGCAATATAGAAGGACTAGAATCTGGGAAATGAAAAAAGATAAATATACAAAAACCCCTGCCAAGAATCAGGTCTGTGAAATATTTCAAATGCGAGATATTGGGAAAAACGGTTTACCTAAATTTATAAAGCTTTGTATGGAAACGCCATGTTGGTGTCCCTTTCAGGAACACCAATATGGCCGCCGGATACCAACAGAAACATCTGTTTTTGAGTTTTCCTACTAATGCGTGAATTCTTCGCTTGAGGAACTCATAAAGATTACAGTAATATTTATTCTGAGACAAGGAATGTTTAGATTGCAAAATCTCCCAAAATCGGTAATGTTTTTAACCCACGTAAGAGCTTTCCCTGCCAGCCAGCTAAATGCCGCGTCACGCAGAAGCCTGGAAATTCAAGCGTCCTCTCTCGAAAAAAGAAGAACCCTTTCGAACCAAAAATTTTTTTATGTAATGGTGTTTAGGTACTGTAATACCTAGTGAAAGTAGAAACTCAGAAGAATCGATAGTTTCTTAGTTTGATTTTTGGTGACGTCACGTGCAACCCAAGAATTCTAAGAAGAACTTTTACAGTGTAAAATGTGGTTTTCCTTTCTTCTCAGTTCGCAAGACATCCGCTGCGATCAACTAATTTTTTTTTTAGAAGGACAAAATTGCCCGCTGTCACCGAGGGTGTACTTCATCAGACCACGTGAAGTCACATTGTCGGAAGTCCAGCTCCCATTTTGGATTATGAGTGTAAGTTGTAATCAGTCAACAATTATCTTCAGTAAGTTCGCGTAGCACCAAGATGACTGTTTTGACTCTCACATTAGAAAATGATAACGAGTTAATTCCGTATATTTTTGCTGAGATTAACCGCGCTTTCATAAATTTGTTCACTTAGAAGTTTTTCCTCGTGGGCTACTTTGTGGCCTTTTTGGAAGTGAGTTAATGGCCGTTTTCACACTAGAGACGGATTATCCGTTGGATAATTTTAAAAACGGAACGGTTTTAATTTTGGATGACTAATCCGTCTGACTTTATCAATTTGTTTATAAGTCAATTTAAATAGACGGATTTTGAAGATGGGTTATCAGTCTCTAGAGTGTGAAAACGCCCGATTTGTTTCCTTTGGCTTTGCCTAAGGAAACATCAAGATTCTCAAAAAGGAAAACTAACTATTTCCTTCCGAAGCATTCATTAAAAATGTTTTATTAAATACCTGGAATTTCTCAGTTCCTACCGGTTTCCCATCAGTCCCATGAATTCAGGTAGGAGTGGGTCTCCACTATCTGAAGGCCTGGAACAGGTTAGCTTTCATTAGCTACTTCAAGATCATGTGACACCAAATTGTGCCATGCATTCTATGAAATCAGATGAGATCAAAGCATTGATAAAAGCATTGTTTAATCGAGGAACTTCATTTATTTCATTTTCCAGCTATAACTTTTTACGGCTCTATTCCGATGCTTCTTTACTTTTATGTCACCTGCATGCCGTGATGACCGTGATGAACTAGACGTTTGTTATAATAGCACTGACTTCTTGCATTAGTTTTTGTAGTTGAGAGCATATATTTACTATCCTTTGTTGTGATGTGTTACATATTTCAGGGCGACTTCTGGATTAGGGCGGATCTTAGAGATAAAATAAGCAACAAACGTATTTCCTGTGTGGAGGCGACTGTGTCAATTTGGGGCTGCCGAGAATGTATTTTTTGCTAAGAAACAAAATGCGATTATGTAAACGCTTTACGATTAATGAGAGCATTTCTTATATATTTTTTATTGTTCCGTAGCAAACCGGCGAGTGCTGGGGGTTACCCCCAGACGTCATACTTCATCTAGTAGCAATTAAAAGCATTTTTGGCTTGGCGCCTTTCAGTCAGGGTACCAATACAGCGTAGCCTGCAACGGTAAATGCTATTAAGTTGTCATGGGGTTCCACATTTCTTTGTGACTATCTGAACTATGTACAATTTTTGGTGCTAGGGACTTTTTTGACGATCATTGAACGAACCGAACTTTATAACAGGTAAAGGCCAAAATCCTGGCCCAAAGCATGGACGAGTCCTCCCTCGTGGCAAAAATATTTTCAAAATCAGCCAATCCGCTAGCCTACGCGCCCCACTGCCGCGCAACAAGCCTGGTCAGCAGCTCACTCTTACTCTTACCAAACTAGTTCCAGAGAAATTTCACTTTAGTAAGAGCACATAAAGTGTCGGAAATAATTGTTATGGATAAAGCTGGCTTGAAACTATCTATTTTTTGTAGATATAATGTGCAAAGACTAATTAAAGACATGGTGATACAATTTAGCGTTTGTCGTTTGTCTATTTTTTTTAGAGAGATCCCAGAACCACGTTTTATACAGCAAATGATAAAAGTTAGATTCAAGTAAGTGGTCAATTTCTAAAAAAAATGGAAATGAGAAGATTATAAAAGTGTTCAAAAGAATTCTTATGGATGAAAGTGGTATGAAGCCAATTATTTTCGTGTAGATAAGTAAAGGAAAAAAGTGGTCACGTGGTTTAAATTGACTTTTGCCGTTTGCAGCAAACGTGATTCTGTATCTTTCTATTGACTATCAAGTGTTCGCTAATGCGATCAGAGCAATTGAATGTATTGCCATTAAACCTGTTTGTCCACGATACCAACACTACAGCCACCAGCTTCTGGCTCACTGTCGTGTAACATGAACTTCAAAGCGGTAATTTGTGTAATTGTAGTCCTAGAACTTAGTTTTTTATATTACTTTGGAAAATGGACAGAGAATGACAACGGGCAACCATATAACCTTGGTAAGTTTGACATAAACGCTTTTGCATCAGATCAGATATTTTTCAAGCAAAGTTGCTGGCTTATTCAATCCATCATCTTGTTGAGGAAAAAAGGGAAAGAACAGAAGAATAACCTCGTCGTTCGATCGTGCGACAAACTCCTCGTACATATAATCCTATGCTGATTTAATTCGTGAACCTGTTATTATAATATTTCTATAGCGCCCTCCAGGCTCAAGAAGCTTCACGATCAATGTTTTAAAAGTAAAAACGAGAAATTAGCAACTCATTTTCTACTTTAAAAAGAATAATGCAAAATTGTGAATAAAAATAGCCCTAAAGAGAGGAGAGGCGAGACTGCACTTATAAATGAAGACTGCTTATTGCAAATATTGGAATACTCACACTTTTGTCTAATCTTGTGACCCCGACCTCTTGTTGGCAAGCACTTTTTGTAAATAATGAAAATTTTGGGTGGTGAGCGAAAATACCTTGGATCGTGGAAGCTCAATCTTGAATATAACTAATTGGCCTTCAGTTTTAAATATTCTCGTTACAGTGAAAATGTTTTATTATATACTTATGAACTAATTAGTCCAGTCTTCTGCCTTGCAGAGTTCAGACTGTATTTTACGTGAATTTTGGTTATGAAGGCCGAAAAAAATGCTTGTTCTCATATCATGCTGAGTCATGTTCATTTTTCTTAACCATCACGAGCCGGAGTGTAGAGCAAAAAAAAAAATGCGGCCGAAATTCAGTTCGTTGAACTGTCAATCCTTTTCAATCGTACTCACGGGTTTTTATAGCTGTTATTAATATTCGTTTAGTCTTCTTTTTTCTCTCTTTTTCTTTAGCAGCACGCTTCACCTTTACACTTTGTGTGCCCCATAAACTCAAGTACAGCCATTACCATGACAACACAGTGTCATCAGTAAGAATTTCTGCCTTTTTGAGGCAGCTGGCCGTAATTCATTAGTTTAACAAAAAAAAAAAAGGCAGGAGAAATAGGTAAAAGTCAAAAAGAGTACAGAGGAGATAAAGTGATGATTTAAACGAATTGCACTGAGATACCCTTGAAGATAGCGGGCGCTTGGGAGCGAATTCATAATTTTGTCCTGTGGCAGTTTTTTGTTACTACCATGAAATTAAAGGGTACTCTGTCATCAATTTGTTAATAGCTTCTGGTCGACGAAAGTGGGGAAAAGCATTGAACATACTCTGACCCCTTTATGTGATCTGCATGCAAATCTTAAGACATCTATAATCTGCGGTCTTTAAAAAGACCGTCGATTCAAAGCTCAAATGGGCTTACTTCCCTTTTTGAATTATACTTACAGATCGAGTTGGGTTCCGACGTGAAGAAAAAACATATAGGAGCAGTAAATTCCCTATCATCATTATCGGTTCAGGCCCAACAGCTTTAGGAGCCGCTTAACGTCTATATGAATCAAAAGAGGAGTTTCCAAACTTATCAGTGATCATTCTGGAACAGAGTGGAAAGCCTGGGGGACTCGCGTCTTCTGAGCGAGATGAACAAGGTTTCCTCTGGGACATGGGGGGCCATGTAGTATTTTCACATTACAAGTATTTTGACGCCACCCTTGACGGTGTTATTAAGGAGTGGAATTGGAAACAAAGAGGTGCGTATACATTCATGAAGGGTTCCGATGACAAACGCAGATTTATTCCGTACCCAGTGCAGAATTACATCGAGGTGATGGACAAAGTTGACCAACAGAAAATTCTGGCAGGCCTCGAAGAAGTCGCTAAACATCCAGTGAAAGAAAAACCCGCAAATTTTGACCAGTGGCTTCTACGCAACTTTGGTATCGGTCTCTGTGAGGTGTTCATGAGAAAATACAACAGGAAAGTTTGGACCGTGAATACCACGGAAATGAACTCTGACTGGGTGAATGAGCGAGTTGCTGTTCCAGATATTGCTAAAATCAAGCGAAAGATCGCAGAGCACGTCGATGGAACTACCGCAAGAGACTTGGGGTGGGGACCAAATAAAATGTTTCGATTTCCAAGGTACAATGGAACAGGGGGCATATGGCAGGCAGTTGCTAATAGCCTTCCCCGTGAGTGGTTTAGGTACAATCACACAGTGACTGACATAGATATTAACTCAATGACTGTCACTGTTAAGTTGGGAACCGAAAGCAATAACTCCATTTACAAAATGAAGTACGCTTCACTGATATCAACTGCACCACTCGACTTGTTGGTTATTGATATGATAAAAGGAACAGATGGATATTTACAGGAGATGAGAAAACTAGCATCTCAGTTGGTTTATTCGCGCACACATGTGGTAGGAATTGGACTAACAGGTCAACCTTCTTCGATGCTAGCAAACATGAGCTGGATATATTTCCCTGATTCTGACTCGCCATTCTACAGAGTAACAGTGTTTTCAAGATACGCAGAGGGTCACGTTCCAAAGCCTGGTCAACAGTGGTCCCTCATGTGCGAGATAGCCGAGCCAAAACATAACTCCAGCCCTGAAAAGTGGACAAAACAACATTTAATTCAAAGTACCATTCAAGCGCTAATCGCCTACGGATTTGTTAACTCATCAAAAATGATCGTTTCAAAGTATTACCGGTGGCTTGGTCATGGATACCCAGTTCCTTCCATCGACAGAGAATTGATTCTTGAAAAAATGCAACTTTGGTTGCAATCCAACAACATTTACTCCCGCGGTCGTTTCGGCGGCTGGCGGTACGAGGTTTCAAATCAGGACCACTCGTTCATGCAGGGAGTGGAAGTCATAGACAAGCTGTTGAAAGGAATCCCGGAAGTAACCTACTTTTATCCAAAGCTGGTTAATTCTAGAAGAAATACCGATCGAGTTTTGAGAAAGAGTGTGATGGACTATGAAATTGTAATCGCGCACTACAACGAAAAACTCACTTGGCTTGCACCGATAGCCAATCACAGCTATGTATACCATAAGGGAAACAAGTCGCGCCCTCCACCTTTACAACTGAACGCTTGGGAAAAATTACCAAATGTTGGAAGAGAGAGTCACACTTACCTCTACCACATTATAAAACACTATGAAAAGTTGCCTCACATCACCGTTTTCATACAGGGCGAAGGGCCGTCTGAGTATTGCTTTGAAACTTTGAATGAAATTCTTAATAAAGCGAGAAATAATATTCCTTGTAAGCTGCGTGGAATGGATGACAACTGGGGGTTAATAAGGCACCGGGGCAAATGGCTTGTGGAGAAAATCAGCGGACAAATGCGCCCTTCTAATTTCACATTTGGAGAATTTTTTCAAGAGCTGTTTTACTCTCCACACCCAGAGAACTATGCCTATTGCCTCAAAGCATGTATCGCTGCAACTCGAGAAATGATTCAAAAGCATGCAATTGATTTCTACAGGAAAGCCATCTCCTTCGTAGACGATCATGTAAATCCAGAGGAAGGGCACTATTTTGAAAGACTTTGGCATACTATATTCTCCACGTATTGAATACCGCAAATTACTTTAAATTCCGTATTTATTCGATTAAACGCCACGGCGTTTATTAAATTTTTAGCGTTTCCTTGTTTATACTACTACATGAGAAATTTCTGCAATTTGATTGGCTAAGAGCAGTGGTATTTCCGCTTAATTTGAAATACCTACATGTGAAAATTACAAACCTTTTGCCGGTAGTAGTATAAACAAATAATAGCATTATTTGTACGTGATATTTGGCATGCTATTACCTATACAAATCGTTTGTAAAAATTATGTAATTTAAAGGCTCCAATGTCTCCATTATTTTGCTAGGATAGAACGGTAAATGTTTGGATGATGTAAATTACCAAGTTGTACCGGGGTTTTTCTTATTCCTCGAGTAAACGCCGCATTCTTTTGATTAGGTGCGGCGTTTATTGGTAATTTTGCTTCCATCTGCGGCGTTTGATCCAGGGCGGCGTTTATTTGAGGGCGGCGTTTAATCGAATAAATACGGTAGTTTCTTCTGGTTCTGTTGTATCTATACCTGGTTATGTCGTGTTTTTATGTTTTTCGGTTTTCAAATATAATAGAATCAGGTTTCCAGTTTCTCAAATTTCTACATGATCAATGAAAAGCGTCGAAAATAATTCTCGTGGATAAAACTGCATGAAATTAATTAGTTTTTTGTAGATACAATAGGTAGAAAAAAATACTGAAGTGAAGGGGAAAATTGGTCACGTGATACACAAACTTTGCCGTTTCTTGCCTCTCAACTGTCTGGTTATGCGAGCAACGCCATTGAATTCAACATTCTCACATCCACCTGAATACGCCTTGTTTACCTCCCCCAACATTTTGCATAGCCATTGTTTTCAGTTTCTCCTGGGTATCGTGCCGTCTCAAGAGAAACTGAATTAATGTTTACGTAAAATTTTGGGGGGATACGCAAGGTGTATTATGGTTAATGTAAAAAACGGTGAATGAATTACCATAAAACCAACAGTACTACAGTCCAAAAGGTTGAGTTTGATCGTCCACAGTCCACCTTGGATTTTTTCGGCTGATTGTATTCGAACATGAGCTTAAAAGTAGTGATCTTTTTTAGTGTAGTCTTAGGACTTGGCCTTCTATATTTCTGTGGAAAATGGACGAAGAAATACAACAGGCAGCAGCCATATTACTTCGGTAAGTTTGACTTCCGCACTGTCTGTTGAATGACTTGCATCTGATCAGACTTCGGATTGTTTTAAAGCAAAGTTGCTTAAAATGATTTGTTGGCTTATCATATATATTTTTTCTTGCTCTCATATCCAAGATTGACCGATGCAAAAGTTGCAAGATTAGGAATTTTTTGGGATGGCCTAGGCAAAAATGAGTAATATTATCTTCGCGATTTTAATAGAAAAATGTGAAAAAAAGGCATTCTTTCGTGATTCAAGCTTTCTCAAGTTCATTTTATTTTTCGAAAAATCTTAAATCTTTTAAATTGCTAGATAAACTGGAACAAGGAAAACGCATATTTATCTGCTCCGTACGTATGATCTTTCACAACACAAGATACGAAAGTGGGATTTCCCAGAAAAACTAGTTGATAATTTGTGTATTTGACGAAACATATTCTGTATATGCTGTTGCTATTAGATTTTTATCATTTTTCCTATGATTTGAATTTTCTATATGCGTAAAAATTTTGCAAAGACATAATTTCAGAGTTTTTTTTTTTAGAATTGCGAAAAACGCGAAAGTAATACCAAGGTATGTAAATTTAGCAACACGCCTCAAAGTTAAAATTTACATGTTTGACAAGTTCGTCAAAACCTAGTTCAAATTTGACAAAAATGTTCTCTTTCAGCGCTGTGGATCGTACAATTTTTACGGCAATAGACCTCTTTAGCTTGTATGTTTTGTTTTACCAATGTAGGTTTCCTTGAAATTTCGCTATATTTCCATGAAAATACGGGTATGCATAACTTATGAACAGACAAAGGGGGGAATTCCCGAGACCTGCATTGGGAAAACGAAAGATACAAGTTTAAGCTTGGAGATCTATGGCAAGATTTCACAAATTAACGATTTTTCGTCTACGCCCTCTGCGAATTTCACGGAATTTTTTTATCATTTGTTATGTAAACTGCAACACGCCCTTAGATTCAGTTTAAGCGAACGACGGCGTTTCAGTGTCCAGTACACACAAGATGGCATCATATCAACAACTACGGTGTGTTAATTTCCAGTGCACAGAAGATGACATGTTAATAACTAGTTGGCACCAACAGAAACACGAATATGTCTCGTTAAGTCAAGTACCCCTTACAATTTCGAGTATACACCAAAAAGATGCATGGTAGCGTGTGGACTTCGATCCTCGTTCTATTAACGTATTACTACGTGTCAATAGACCTTGTAACGGTTTTCGACGCTATCTTGACGAGTAGGCAAACGTGTGAGAAAATACAGTGTTTGTATGAGAATCAGTAATCTAATGTCGAATAGTTTCCGTAAAACGGCTGTTCTGAAAAAAATATCAATTGTTAACTAAAGCTACAAAGCAAAGGATTGTCCTAAAAAAATTTGGGGGCGTACCTGGGCTTAAATTTCTCCAGAGGCTTGCTTTAGATTTTCCATATATTTGTCTGTAATTTTCCCGGGACTTTCTTACAGACAATAGAAATTTTAAAAAGAGTTTCTAGGTCTTCTAGTGCATGTAACGCCCTCAATTTTTTTCAGGAGAATCCTTAGGAGTGAAGCTTTAGTTTACAAATCATATGTATTTTTTTTAGAACAGTCGTTCTACGGAAATTATTCGACATTAGATTCCCATACAATCACTGTAATTTCTGACGCGTTTGCCTACTCGTCAAGATGGCGTCGAAAACCGTGACAAGGTCTATTTCGATACCAACAAGCTTCAAGAATAATAAAGGATAACTAACACAAACAATTACTAGGAAACCATCAAAACATGACGCGAATATTTATCGTTTACCCTGTAGTAAGAAAAGCACTGGAAAAACACGACATGAAAGAAGAAAAACATGCCATGAAATTCGCCGCTCTAAAGGGCAATTAAGTACACAATCTTTACAAGAACAAGAAGTAACTTTTTTCGTTCTGAACGCGAAGTTTCTTTTGCTATATCAACTTATAAAACGTGTACATTCTTTTCCAATTACTTTAGATCTACCCAGTTACATATAGAATGCTTTTTCTCAAACTGCAAAATACTCTAATCTCTCTAATCGATTTTTCTAATGTTTAAACACAAACAGTAGCGTTTTATCACTGGTTAAAAATTCGAGGGCGAACTGTTCCAATCCTTTGATTAAACCACAGTGAATCCAGACTGAAACCAGCCTACTCGAAGACGAATTTTAAGAATTTGTGTAAGGATGTATCGTAAAATCGATAAAACGGTTAAAATGCACATGAAATTAAACAGCCATTAAAATGTACATACCTCGTAAAAAAAGTTGCGTCTGTGTTGTTTTGTTACTGCTTACGGCTCCAAAAATTAATCTGCGGTCTTTCAAAAGACTGTTGATTGTTAGCTCAAATGAATGGCGTCAGCTCATTCCCCGTTAATTATACTTTACAGATCGAGTTGGGTCCCGGCGTAAACAA